CGTCGGAACGAAGTTACGGAAAATCAATTAACAAACGAAGACGTAACACTATCCATCACAGGCATCACTGTAGCAGCCTGAACTCTTTCCACCAATTCAATGTTCTTTCTAAGGTAAAAATTCCAAAACTGAATGTGGTATACCAAATGTAGCCTAACAAGTGACTTATACAATGACATTATATATATATATATATATATTTATATCGGCACTTGTGTATAATGTTAAAATAATAAATATACAATACTCAAGAATTACTGGAAATAATGAAATTTAAAAAAGAATTATAAATTATTAAATGTAGATGAAGGTCCAGCAAATATCTGTCTAAGAATGTGGTGAGACCTGTTCTATTATTTATTCACAATTGCAAAATTACAGACAGGTCACGTGATATTTAAGAAAATATAAATTGTGAAATTTATCTCGTGTTGAAACATGTTGACTCATTATTTTGAAATTATTTTAACTGTGTACTGAATTTAATGCTGTATATTTATTGTTTTAACATTATAACCTCTACAGACCTTTATTGAATATTTATATATATATATGTATATATATATAAAACCTAAAATCCTATTTGCTTTGCCACTAGAAAAAGTGCATTGTTTAGATAGCTTAAGAGAACGATTAACCACAACTCCAAGATCTCTTTCTTCCATAACATGGTTAACATTATTTCCATCTAAATTAGCTCATAGTTTAAACTATGATATCCCACATGCATTACCTTGCATTTATTATCATTAAAAGTCTCCTGTTATTTATCTGCTGAACTTACCATATAATCCAAATCTTTTTGTAAAGCAATAGCATCCTGCTCACAGCCACTAACACAAAATTTTGATGACATCAGCAAATGTAAATAATCTATACATCAATCCTCCACATATATATCAATGATGTAAATAAATAAAAAAAAATCCTAACATTGAGCCTTGAGGTACCCCCACTCATGACATTAATTCAGTTTGACTGAACTCCATTTATGACAACCCCCCCTACTTTCTAGCTAGTTTTCTATCCAATGAGCCAATCTATCCCCTATACCTAAAAATATAACTTTTTTAACAAGCATATTATATGGTGCCTTGTCAAATGCTTCTTGAAAATCCAGATACATCAAACTTTAAAGAATGTCAAAAGATTAGTAAGGCAAGATTTTCCCATAGTGAAACCATGTTGACTATCTGAAAAGATTTTAAACTTTGTTACATGACTTTCCAAAGCATCTTTTATTGCACTTTTAAAAACTTTTCTCTCTAATAGCCCTTAATTACTCAGCGAATTTGTATCACCTCCCTTTAAAAAGAGTAACATTATTGAAATTCTAAACTTCTGGCACTTGTCCACAAGTTAATGATTTAGAAACAAGTGGTAGCAAGTGGTTCGCATATCCAATCCTCAATTTTTTTATAACTCTTGGATAGATATTATATGGCCCAGAAGCTTTATTATTCTTTAAACTTTACAAATTGTTCTTAACAAGCTCAGAATTAATGTGATCATCTTTCTCAATCTTGTTTTCATCTAGTAATTGTTCAGGATGAGGAATATTGCTTAAATCTTCATTAGTAAAAACTGACAAAAAATTAGAATTTAATAACCCAGACATCCCATAATTATCAGATATTAGCATTTCTGTATCATCCTTCAAAGGTTCTACTCCCATTCTAATATTTTACTTACACTTAATGTACTTAAAAAAATCCTTACTATTAATTTTTACATTTACAGCTAATCTTTTTATGTACTTTTTAGATTTCCTATTTAAACAACTTCCTTTGTCTTGTATAATCCTTTAAATCTCCAATCATTGCAGTCAAATTAAACTTCTTATAATTATAATGCATTTCTTAATTTATTTCTTTATTTAAATTTCTAACATTTCTTTATTAAAAGTTAACAATATATCTAAAACAGCATTGTTCCTAGTATTTTTGCTAACTAATTGTTGTGAAAAACCATCCATGATTTGACTCTAACTTTTTTCCAATCTATATGACTAAAATCAAAATCTCTCATAATTAAGACCTTATTGACAGTTGAATTCTTTTTCTCAGTGTACAGTTTCTCAATAATTTCATCAGTTTCCTCTGGTGATCTGAAACAAATTCCATCTAAAAGCATTCTCACCTTATAACCACTTACAGAAACCCATAACAGATTCCCTCTCATTGCTGTTAGCTTTGACATCCTCAACTTGAACAGACTATAACATACATTTTACATATATAGCTACTCCTCTCCCATTTCTTAGTTCCTATTCCTATTAAACAACCTATAACCTTGTATTTAAAAGAAGTTCCTGTCATCATAACTGTCTATATTTAGCCAAATTTCAGTTATTCCCATTATATCAAAATATGAAAAGTTCTCTACAGAAATTTACTTTATTTCTTATACTTTTAGCATTACACTAATAACAGTTTAGTCAACCATTAAAACTACCCTTGTACCTTGTTTCCACACTATACCCCTCTCTACACCTTATTGTTTCTTCATTATTCTAGCCCTCTCAATTGTCTAATTCTAGTTTAAAGTTGCCTTTACAGTTCAGTTAATAACCCTCGCTAACAACAAGTTTATCATTTTTCAGATCAAACCTCCAACAAACCAGTAACGACTGTCCTAGCTATGTTCAACTCCCCATCTATTCAAACAGATACCAATTTTCTTCAAAATATATACAATCTTTACCCTAATTTAATAATAGTTGGAGACCTTAACTCCAAACACCCTGACTTTAACTGCAGAAAAACTAATTCTAAAGGTAGATTACTACATTAATTCATTGAAAATAACAACCTGATAACAATCAATAATTACCCATACCAGCCCAAATGGCACACACAATATCCTTGATCTTGTTAAAATACCCTCAACCCTTTCACATTATGCATATAATTTCCAAGTTTATGAAAACATTGGAGGAGACCACAACCTTGTATCCTTCAACTTATGTTAAAATAGTAATAACCCACAACCCCACACAATTCACAATTTCTTCCATACTGACTGGATTAAATTAAATGCCAACATCACTAGCTGCCTACCTAACCTTATGATTACAGCCAATAATTACACAGACATTGATAACTATGCCACTAAATTGACTAAGGCCATAACACAAGCAATTCAAGAAACAAACATCAGTAAAACTATCAATACAGACCTCTGATCATGGAAACTCTCTGACCAAATTCATGAAAATATACTTGAGAAAAGAAACCTCAGATGCCAGTTCATCCGAAACAAGAATCCCACGATTAAATCTGTAATTAATGCAAAGAATAGCCAGATCAAAAAACTCATTCAGAAGCAACAACAAAACAACTGGGAAAATCTGTGCCAATCATTAGAAATAGCAAAACCTGACCCAGCTAAATTCTGATAAAAACTCAAATCAATAACGAATAATAAACCTAAAAAAATCTATCAATCAATTCGTATACAACAATACAATTCCACCACAGATACTCAACAAGCTAAACTATTTGCCCAATATTTCAAAAACACGTTTATAACCCCAACCTTCCCTCATTCGATGACAATCATTACCAAAATATTAATCAATTTATATCTCACAATCAGCACACCTTTACACCACAGTTTCCAGTAATGATATAATAACTCCTATTCATGTAATTTTTATACTCATCCCATATCTGTTGCAGAAATCAAAATAAGTTTAAAGACAATTAAATGTAATGCCCATGGTAAAGATGGAATTAACAGTATACTGTTGAAAACTCTATCTAATGATATCCTAGAACACCTTGTAAACATCTTTAACCTATCGTTTACATCAGGCTATTACCCTAAAATATGGAAATCTGCTATAATCAAGGTAATACTCAAGAAAAATAATAATTTATCCAGCCTGAACAATTACAGACCAATCAGCCTATTAAATACACTAGGCAAGCTCTTAGAAAAATTCAGAACCAACAGATTAAACTACTACCTAGAATATAACAACATTATTAATAATATTCAGAACTCTGGTAGGAAAAATAGACAAACTTCCAATCAAATTCGATGACGAGGAACCCACTTTGAGACTAATAATGGTTGGAGATGGCTTGAATGGGTAATGAAGAAAAACTTTAATATAACTTTAACATAACAGCAAATGTACAACGTTTCGAACTGATGATGACAAAACCTTGTAGAAACGTTGTACATTTGCTGTTATGTAAAACTTATATTAAATTTTTTCTTCATTACCCATTCATACCATCTCCAACCGTTATTAAACTTCCAATCACTTAGTCCGATTTAATGAAACCGTTTGCTGCGGGTTTAACAGGAAACAAACAACCATCGCAGCATTCCTTGGTGTCTAAAGAGCCTTCAATTCTGTGTGGCATAATGGACTCTGATATAAACTAATATCTAATCATGTTCCTACAAATTTAGTAAAATGGATATCTAGCTTTCTTACCGATTGAACAGCTAAAGTCAGAATTAATAATGCTACCTCTAAACCCTTCTCATTCAATCCTGATGTACCTCAGGGCTCTGTTCTTAGCCCAACACTTTACAACCTTTTTTGTAAATGACATTCCATTTCCCCTACTAAATTATACACTTGCATCTCAGTATGAAGTCAATATCGCCTTATGGAGCACATCTAGTAACCCACAGATGGCAATAGATAATGTTCAAAAATCTCTAAACACAGTATCCATATGGTGTAATAAATGGTGTGTTGCACTTAATCCAACCACATCTCAGGCCATAGCCTTCCTTTGCAAAATAAATTAAAGCATGAAAAACTAAATATTCTTAAACTCAACCTCAATAATATACCAATAACCTTTTCCAAATCAATCAAATTCTTAGGGTTAATACTTACTAAAAGTCTCAAATAGAATCATCATTTTAACAACATTACTTGGGATGTCAACAACCAAATTGCCCAACTTAAATGTTTAGGAGGAATTAACAAAAGATGCAATAGTAAAGTTATAACTACCATTTATAAAACCTACATATGACCTCTATTTGAATATGGAAATGCAGTAACATGTAATGTCTAACTATTTATCAAATGAAATTCAATAATTTCAAGACAGAACCACAAAAATATCCCACCTTTCAAATATAGATCCCTTAAGTTAGCCGTTAAATATTATAATAGAGCAACCAAACAAAATTCTCACACTCAAGAATTTCCTATTCTTTCTAATTACTACCCCCGTCACCTGGCAAAAATATCTGTCTCCCGCTAATCTAATGAAACCAACCAACAGAACTATAAACCATTTAATTACCACCTATTCATAGGAAACATCCAGATTTTCTGTCATTGATGTTACATTAATATGACTCTCCTTTACAGCCATTCGAGCACTGGGCAGGTATACTAATCAGCACCAGCCCAGTGAAAGCGTGTTTTCTCTGGGCACTCCGGTTTCCCCCACATCTAAATCAACACCTTAGACATAGGATCTATAGATCCCAGCCCTGAAAAGGACCATGTCCTAGTTTGCTTATTTCTATTCTCTTCCAAATTAAAATCTAGTCCTATGTTAGTCTAGTTCAAATCATTAAACTATATAATCATCTAACAGATTTAAGTAACTCTTTCTTTTCCGGTAAGAATTAACTAATTACATTAAAGTTAAAACATCTATTTAGTTAAATTCTCAGTGTACTCGATCTGCTTCTCCCTGCTTATGTAATCGACAATACTACAATAGCTTTCTGTGTGATTGATGTCATCACTATGTTTATCAATAAACACACGCGCCCCTACCTTAACTCCGTCATCAAAGTCATCAAGGCAATTATCAGCCAAAAAACACACAGTAAGAAAGACAAGACATGGACAAATTATGAAATAATGTGTTCAAAATTGGTAAAACACAAGTCTCTGCCTGTAACTATCCCACTGAATTGATCTCCACTTACCTTGACAGTATTTTTCAACCCCTAATAAAAACCCTCCCTACATTCATTAAAGATAGTACTCATGTCCTTAGTCTCTTAAACAAGTTTGCCACTACCATTGATTACATTTTCACAGTGGACATTCAATATCTATACACTGTGAAACCACACAACAGTGGAATGGTTGTGCTTAAAAATTTTCTTAAAAAGAAATAGCAACTTATATCCCTCCACAGTCACCATACTTCAGCTGACTAACTTGGTACTGACTTTGAATGCCTTTGTTTTCCAAAGAAAAACATATCAACATTTACATGATGTTGCCATGGGAACCAAAATGGGTCCATCCTATGCAAACCTTTTTGTTGGTTATGTAAAACAACAACTTTTCAGTACCTTCACCCACAAACTTCCTACCTTTTTTTTTATCAGGTATGTTGACATCATTCTGGGTCTTTTTACTGGATATAAAGATTAACTTGACCTTTTCATTCATTATGCTGAACGTTATCACCCATCTCTTAAATTTACTTCCAACATTTCTAGTCGTAAAGCTAACTTTTTAGACATCACTATTGACATTTTCACATCTATATTACAAACCCACTGACAATGATTCCTATTTAAATCTTAATTCTTTCCATCCCTCTGAGCACAAACACACTATTCCTAAGGAACAATTCCTACGTTTGAGATGTCTGTGCTCCAACAACACTGACTTCAGGTGTAAAGCACGTGACATGAGTCATTATTTTAGACATGAGAATTATCCCAATAACACCACTGAAAGGCTAAACTTGCCACATTCAGTTTATCACAAGCTGATTGTCTCCACTCTAAGGACAAACTACACAGTAACAGAGTTTCTTTAGTCTTTACATACAATTCTTTAATCAGACAGATTAATAGAATTGTCCAATGCAACTTTACCTTACTAACAAGTGACAACACATCTAATGACATTTTTTACCACCCCACCCTTAATTTCTTTGAAACGTGAGAGGAATTTGAAAGACAGACTAGTACCTACCAAATTGCAGACTGAATCGTCTTTAAATGCACAAACTAACAGAATTCATCTATGTGGACGAACTACTTGACTTACATGCGATTATATCACCAACTTATTGACTCTCTCCAGTTCTACTTTTACCTTTCACATAAAAGGCCAATTCACCTGTACATCAGAGTGCATTATTTATTGTATTCCCTGTACTAAATGTAAACAAATCTACATTGGAGAAACTATATGCAGATTAAGTGACAGATTCCATGAACATCTCCAACTTATATGCAATGGCATCCTTGACCATCCAGTCCCCAAACATATCAATTCCCCAGATCACAATGGAATTGACAACATGAGTGTACTTATAGTATTTTGGCACTTGTATATAAAGTTAAAATCATAAATAATATTCAACATTAAACTGGTACACAATTAAAAACATTTTATTTAGGTCTATCTATGGCCTTCAAAAAGTTGACGACTCTACGTGTTTCGACATTACCACGTCATCCTCAGGAGTGAATTACAAGACAATTGCCAAAGTATTTATAATATGTTAGTAGGTCAATGATCTGTATGTTATTTTACATAAATTCACGCTAAACCATTCAAAGGAGATTAATCAACATTCTTGCAGAAATATTTGCCATACCTTCATCTCTATTTAATACTACATGATCTTTTTTATGTTTTATTATTTCTAATGATTCACAAATATTATTACCTATTATAATTTTTGGTTGAGTTAATATTACATTTTTTCCCCCTATAATATTGTGTGTTGTGTTTCCTGTACATGTTCTGCTATGGATGAATTTTCAGTTTTTTTATATTTTTTTACATATCCCTTATGCTCATATAAACGGTAATTTAAATTACCTTTTGTCTGACCAATG